GGGATAGGATGGTAACTATAATGAAAGGCTGTGTGTCATAAATGTATTAGCGGTCAAAGACAATGGGTATTGGGAGGAAATAAATTAATTCTGGTTATAGAAAATCATAGAGCCGGCCGGGCGCGGTGGCTCAAGCCTGTAATCCCAGCACTTTGGGAGGCCGAGGTGGGTGGATCACGAGGTCAAGAGATCGAGACCATCCTGGTCAACATGGTGAAACCCCGTCTCTACTAAAAATACAAAAAATTAGCTGGGCATGGTGGTGTGTGCCTGTAATGCCAGCTACTCAGGAGGCTGAGGCAGGAGAATTGCCTGAACCCAGGAGACGGAGGTTGCGGTGAGCCGAGATTGTGCCATTGCACTCCAGCCTGGGTAACAAGAGCGAAACTCCATCTCAAAAAAAAAAAAAAAAAATCATAGAGCCAATGAAATATGATCATATCTTAAAAACAAATAGGATTTCAACATTATGAAGTTAACAAGTTTTCATAACTGAAAGTGTATCAGGAGGGAGAGTAAAGGAGAGAAATAACTGTATAAGGGCTCTTGTCTCGTTATCCCCAAACCGTCACCCAGACTAGGCACATCTTCCTCCATTTCTGACCCTCATCCTCTAAGAGAAGTTCTATTTTTTTTCCAGGCTAAGTACGGAAGGACATCAGACAAGGAAAAGTTCTTACCATTATGTAGTTTTGTTTACATAAAGAAGCAACATAGTAAGAAGCTGAGAAACAATGAGCAGTGGGAGAGAGAAAGGCGTGCTTCATGAGCTAAAGCAGGGAGGGTTGTTGGGGATTTGGTATGCAGGGAACTCCAGAGCAGTGGTGAGCACAAGAGGACTGGGCATTAGTGGAAGAAGTTAAGAGGAGTTTCCATGGGTTAAAAATGGAATTTCCTTTAATGTTCCTAAAGACAAGAAAGCAGAGTGGATTTCTCTGACCAAATTTTGGCTGCTGGAGCATGTTTCCGTAGATACAACTTGAAAGGCTTTTGCATGAGGCCTGGATTTTATTAGGTTTATTATCATAGACTTTATTCTCAAAGACCTACAGATATCTCAAACAAATACTCTATTACAATGGCAAAATATCCTATATAGAGGCACTTGGTATGTTTTAGGTGATGATAGATGGCCACATTTCATTGGGATGATGGCTTATGAAAATGACAAGTGAAAAATCATGGGCGGAAAAATAGTATGTTTCATGCATGCATGTTTGGAGGAGGGGGCTGGTTGGCCTGTGATTGCCTTGAGGGTCATGATATTGAGATGTGTTTCACTGTGGAGGCAAGTAAAAGACATTAAAGAGCTTTGTTCAGACAGTGAGGTGACCATGGTTATTCCTCAGAATCTTTTATCTGGCCGTTATGTGTACATGAGGTAGAGGAGAGACACTAAAGATAGGAAAGCTAATTACTTTAGGAGGCTGTTGAAACATTCTTGAAAGAGTGTTCAAAACTTTTTGATTGTGCATCTCTCATGTGAAAAATTCGAAGTACACTGGGCATGGTGGCTCATGCCTGTAATTCCAGCACTTTGGGAGGGCAAGGCAGGAGGATACCTTGAGGCCAGGAGTTTAAGACGAGCCTGAGTAACAGAGTTGGACCCTGTCACTAGAAAAATTTAAATAATTAGGTGGATGTAGTGGCATATGTCTGTAGTCCCAGTTAGTTGGGAGGCTGAGGAAGGAGGATCGCTTGAGCCCAGGAGTTTGAGGCTACAGTAAGCTATGATCACCCCACTGGATTCCAGCCTCAGTGAGACAGCAAGACCTTATCTCTAGTAAAAGAAAAAGAAAAAACCCACCAATTTGGAGCATTCACTACCACACTACCATATTGGGTTGTTTGTTTATAATTTCTCTCTCCCTCTCTCATCTATTTATGTTATAAACATTATAAAACATTTATAAACATAGAAATACAAATTTCCTAATTTATTGACATATTATCCTTTTTATTATATGCTGACCATTTTGAAAACTTCTCATCTAGATAGAAGGTGATGAGGATTTTATTACAATTGTGGAGGTAAAAATAGCCAGGTTGAGGACAACTGTAAATGTTGTCATATTTGTCTGACTGGATTGGGACATAAGGGAGAGAGAAGTGGAATAATGACTCCCACATTTCAGACTTGTTAAAAAGGTAGAATAGTAGTTAAGTAACAGAAATGTGTTGTTGGTATAAGAAGATTGTTTTCAGGGAAATATAATAAAGCTGGTCTTGGCAACATTAATTCAGATTTCTAGTGAATTATAAGCCAGAAAAATCTGGCAGAAAATTGGAATTTCAGCATTGGAACCTAGGAGCGACATTTGTGGTTGGAGATTCAAACTGTATGTCCTCCCAGTAGATGTAATATAGAAAGCTGAAGTAAAGAGTTTAAATAAAGAAAAAATATCTGAGGAAAAAGGATGAATCTCTGAAATCTGTTTCCACTCATGAAGCGGGTTTAGATTTAGAGTACTAGGTAAGCAGAAAAGGAATGGTGTAAAGAAACAAGGGAGAAAGACACCAAGAGAAGGCAGGTCTTTAATAAAGGCCAGTGTGTTCAATAATATCTGTGGCTGCAGGGAAACTTATAAACAAAACTAAGAGAAGTCTACTGGACTAGCAATTAAAAGCCAGGCTTTTGAGGTGATTAACAATCTATCATATTTTGTAAATCTTGGCGAATAGATATGTCAAAAGACTAAAAATGGTACTGACTTAATTTTCTAAAAAGAAAAAAATTATATTAAATGTAGACTTGAATAAGACACATTTCTAGAAAACAGTTTTATTTTAAGTTAAATTTTAGGAGACAATATTTAAGTATTTTTAAAAATTTAATTAAAAACTTAAGCCATAGGCATGTCATTCTAACATAACTTTTTACTTTCATTGTTCTTTTATTTAAATAGACATTTTGTCATAATTTAACAATTTTGTTAAACTAATACAAAATGTACTTACTAACTTACATATTTATTAATGTTGTGTTTGATTTTGTATTTTTATTAATAATTTTATGTTTTAATTGTCATTATAATTATTATTTTAATGGATGTATGATACTTCATCTTAAAACATACTACGATTTCTTTTGGTTCTTGAGTTGATTTTCTACATGTAAGAGTGAAGCATCATCAGTCAAGAGGGACTGCAGAAAGGAAATGTTAATTTTCCTTATATTCTTTGAATACATGAGACTTTGTTTTTACCTCACATTTACAATATTTGTTTTCTCTTTTGGGAACTGTTTATGTTCCACTTGCATGGGATGAAATAGCATTTTGCCCTGAAGTCCATGATTTATTCTTATACTTGATTAAACTACTGCCTTTATAACTTTATAATCATATACTGACATTTTGTTTAAAAACAAGATACATCTGCAAAACAAACTTTAACACATTTAAAGATATTTTTTTCATATAACTTATGGTTTTACACATGTAGAAAATGACTTCATGTTAGTGTTTTGAAATGATTTTGAGATGGACATCAAATAATGTGCCTAGAAACAAAAATTTTGTAGATTCTTTTAACTGTGGTAGAACTTTTAAAGCCATTTAGTTTTTCTGACTTAGAAATCAATCATTTGAGAATCTAGTACCAACAGAAATCAACAGAGGAGAGTGTCTCCACTGACGTATTGACAAATCTCCATTCAATATATTGGTAAAAGGATGTAATATTTTTGCATTAAAATATTTAGCTTGTAACAATTTTTATTGGCATATCAAATTGACCAACTCCTCCACCTTTGATGGAGGAGATAATCAAACTACTCAAGTACAGTACAGTCGTTTCAAATCACGTAAGAATCCCAGTCATCCCTCTGTATACTTGGGGATTAGCCCAGGACCTCCACATGTACCAAAACCAACACATATTCAAGTCTCAAAGTTGGTCCTGTGGAAGCTATGTATATAAAAAGTCAGCCCTCCCTATAGGTGGGTTTTGCATATCTTGATCCAGTATGTACATTTTTGATCCAGTTTGGTTGAAAAGAAAATCCATGTAAAAGTAGACCAGGCAGTTCAAACCCCTGTTGTTCAAGGAGCAACTGTATTTGCACGCTACCCTCAGGAAAGTGACAAATATCTTCTTTGTTATAGCTCGAACCCACTTCCTCTTTTTTGATCTTCAGGAGGTAACGCTCCCAGTTTTTTGATGTGTATTATGTGTAACCACATTTACTCCAGTAAAGCCGAGTTTACATCTATAACTTGTCTTCTGTCCATCACCTCTGTCCATTAGTTACAGAAACAGAATAATAAGATAGTATGATATTTTTTGAGTAAGCATTGTGTGTGTATGCATATGTGTCTTTATGTGTACATAAACCAGTTAAATACAGATATTATAGAAAGCAATGAACCTATAGTTTCTGTCTTCAAAAGACTTACAAGTTCATTTGGCAATAAGATACTTAGCCATAAAGAAATATGTGGCACAAACTACACAATCAGGTATAAACCATGTAAATGCTTGAGGTATTAAGTAGTGCAAGGTGACTTGGAGACCATGGGAAGGCTTTGCAGAGTTGAGTGTGGTACTAGTTCTGGAAAAGATGTTATCTAGACATAAACGTACAGAAAAGAGGAACAGAACAAGATAAAGAAAAAGGAAGAGAGAGGTGTCTCCTGTCTCTCACCTGGGTGCACAGGCTGGCCATAAGCATTATTACATATATACCATGTTCTAGACTCTGTGTCTCACACTTTATAGATTGTTCTCAATTAAGCATGAGGCAAGTAAGAGGTTAATGTGTCTTTTTTTCCATTCCTTTTATTCATTCATTCATTCATTCATTCATTCATTCATTCATTCATTTTTGAGACAGAATCTCTTCTGTTGCCCAGGCTGGAATGCAGTGGGGTGACCATGGCTCACTGCATCCTCAACTTCCTGGGCTCGGGTGATTCTCTCGCTTCCACCTCCTGAGTAGCTGAGAATATCAGCACCTGCCACCACGCCTGGCTGAAATTTTGGTATTTTTTTTTTAATAGAGATGGGGTTTTACCATGGGTCCCAGGCTGGTGTTCCAAAGTGGTGAATGTGATTTTAATAAATCCTGTTTCAATTGGGGGATCATCTGGTATCCTGGAAGGTGAGTGTGAATACAAAACTGTCAGATCTGTCTCTTTTCCAAAACCCTGCCATCTTTCTCTCTTTCCTGCAGGCAAGAGGCTCTATTTACCTTCACGGAGTTTTAAACAGCCCTAACTGAGCTGGTCGAAATCCCCAGACTTTGATTCTTTTCTCTCACTCATGGTTTGAAATGGCTCTTACCTCTTCCTTCATAAAGTTAACAGTTTTGCTATAGGCTGCAGCAATGTTACTAAGTAAAATGAGTTTTTGGCTCAGCCACTAAAGGTGCAAATCAGACTAATTGTTCCTAGAGGGGTCATCTTCACCTCCACTCCAACAGCTGCAGACCCATGCACTTTAAGGCAGTTCCCCTTCCCTTTTCCCCTCCCAGCTCAGGTGCCTGAGCATGTCCACAGCCACAAGTGGTGGAAGGGGCAGGAGAAAACCACGGTGGTAGCCAAGACCCCACAGGGCACTTTGCACCAGCCACGCCAACAGAACATTTCTACTGTGGCTGAGGAGTTCAACCTGGTCTGAACTGGGGGAAGGACACAGGGATTAAAGTGGCCCACTTGCATTGAATAAGGAGTTCTTCCTCTAGGACCTTTCTTTTTGCTTCTTTAACTGTTTCTCTTATTTCTTTTTCTAAGTGAGAAGATTCCCCTCTCCCAGCGCTGTTTCTGATAGGGAAACTAATGGAGGAACAGCCCCTTTTGGCTGATAACTGCACATTTGGCAGGGCAAATTTTTCATACTCTAAACAGATACAGCCTCTGAAATATCTTTTCAGTCCCAAACATGATTCCAAGCTTTAGGCTGAGGCCCTAGAAAGCAAAACCAGGTCTGAGGGATCCAAAGCCAGGCAATAGGCGTAATGTAAATGGGCAGGACAAGTTTCTCCCAACTAAACCCCAAACTCCATGGCATAAACAGGCCCAGGGAACTGAAAGGTTGTCAATAGCAGGAAAAAATGGAACTATAGGTGACAGTGGTTAATTTCTATAAAAATATCTCTAGATTTTCCCTGCTTCATGGGCACATACCTCATTGGTACCTATGGCTGGCACCTGTCAAGGTCTCCAGGAACTCAGGGATAAGAGGTGGAAGGGAAGGGAGGATGCTTACTTTGCTTTCTGTCTTCATCATACACTGAGTTTTCACTCAAAGAAGGAAAGGAATGAGGGACGCCTCTATTCCCTGTCTTTCAGAATGGGTAACTGGCTCTTGTCACCACCCCTAGCTTAGACTCCTCTGGCGTGTATCCTGAACTATTGGGACTGCTTTGACTCTCAGAATCTGGAGGAAAAATGATTCATAGTCCTCTGCACAAAGGTTTGGCCAAATTATGATTTACAGCAGGGACTAACTTGTCCTCAGGAAGGAACCATTCATTTCAATATCATCTGTCAGTTGGAACTTTTCTGCAGATGTGAGGACAGATGATCTGAGGCCCCAAATGTGCAGGCTTTCTATACATTGCAAGGCAATCCAGACCTTTGCTAACAGTGTAGAATTGATCCAGCCCTCCTGTTTGCCATCTCAGGGAAGGCTGCAAGGGGTAAGTCCAGGGAATTAAAGAGTTCTGGAGGTACTCCCAGCAGAGGAACCAGCTCTCAAGCCCAGCTCCTCTGGGTCCACCTCAACCTCCCTATTCAGCTCTCACTTACCCCCTCCTAAAAATCCTCACCCTAAGCAAGCCCCAGTCTCACTCTTGCCTCTTCAACAAATGCCCAGTGAATTTGGGCCCAGTAAGGTCCAGGTCCCCTTCTCCCTACAGGAATTAAAGCAAATTAAGGGGGATCTTGGCAAGTTTTCAGGTGACTCTGATAGTTATACATAGGTTTTACAGAATCTCACCCAAATATTTGAACTCTCCTGGAGAGATGTTGTGTTACTTTTGAATTAGACCCTGACAGACATGAGAAGCAGGTAAGCAGCAGAGAGATTTGATGATGTGCTTTGCACCATATATAGCATCAGAGAAGGGAATGAACAGTAACCAACTGGAAGAGAAGCAGCACCAGTCAAGGCCCCTAAATGGGATCTCAGTGATGAGATGGGAGACTGGAAAAGGAGACACTTTCAGGTGTGCATAGTGGAGGGCTTAGGTATGACTAAGACCAAGTCTCTCAATTATACTAAGTTGTCCATGATTGACCAGGGATTTGATGGAAATCACACTTCCTTCCTGGAGAGGCAAAGAGAGGCCTTGGTAAAGCACACCTCTATCTCCTGATTCAGTTCAGGGAAAGCTAATCCCAAAGGATGGATTTATTATTCAGGCAGCTCCTGATATCAGGAGGAAAGCTACAAAAACAGACCCTGGGACAGACAGTACATTAGAGGACCTCCTGAAGGCGGTGTCTTTTATAATAGAGAAAGAGGCAAAAGCTTTCATGGCCACCACCCAAGGTCATAAACCCCAGAACTTCCATGGTACACCTGCTAACTGCTACAGATATGCCAAGAACATATCTGCAGCTCTTCTAAAGTTTAACTGCTCCCATACAAAGTTTAATTTCTTTCACCAGGGTGAAACAGCTCTGGGTACAATGTTGTTAGTATATTTCACTTCTTATCTCTGTAATCTTTGGCACTAAATTCTTTCCTTGTACAATACACATATTTAAACCCTGCATACTTAACCTTATAAAACTTGTTCTTTTTCTCTCATGCCTAGAAGCCACCAAACTCCAAACGGTTAGGCAACTGGAGCCTCAGATGATGGCTCTCATTTATCAGGAAGCCCTAGATAGACCTCTGGGAGGAATCTGACTGCCATTTTCCCCAAAACAGTGCCCCTGTTAGCAGGAAGCAGCTAAAATAGGTCATCATCCATATTTTAATGGACGTTAGATGTACCTCTTCAGAGGAGGGAAATGACATGGGAGAGGAGCAGGGAAGTGCTGGGAGGAGAAGGGTGGGGACCCTGGTGAGGGCCTGTGCCCACAGTGCTAGGTGAGGACAGGCACTTCAGTTTTCATGCCCAAATGTTGCATTTTCCAAGACAACCCTGGCCTGCCATGCCTCCATCCTGTGCCTGTAAAAATGTCGAAACCTTAGTGGGCACAGACACAAATGGCTGGATGTCGAGAGGAACACACTGGCAGAAGAACACACTGACAGACACCAGCAGACACTGGCAGGCATCTTCAGTGACACGAGGTGAAGTTTGACCAAGGGTGGTCAGAGAAGAGCCCGGTCACTGGGTGGCCCAACTGTAGGGGAAGACCACCTTCCCACTCCATTTCCCTTCTGGCTTGCCATCCATCTGCTGAGAGCTACTTCCACCATTCAGTAAAACTGTACACTCATTCTCGAGGTCCATGTGTGATCCTATTTTTCTAGTAAACTAAGGCAAGGACCCAGGATACAGAAAGCCCTCTGTCCTTGCAATAAGGCAGAGGATCTAACTGAACTGATTAACACATGCCACTTGCAGACGACAAAGCTGAAAGAGTGCACAGCAGCACACGCAGGCTAGGGCTTTGGGAGCTGTGAACACTCAGCCCTAGACATTGCTCTGTGGTAGGCACTCCCCGTGAGCTGCCTGTTTGGATGCTCCTGCTATGGGTATTAGCAGTGGAGCACCAAAAAAGTGAGCCACACCCCATCACAGGCCCTGTGAGGGGAATAAGGGAACTTTCCTGTTTCAGTTCCGGTACCATATTGTGTATTTTCAGGGTCGCAGGACTCCTGACTGTTAATTAGTACTGTGTTTCGTGAGCTTTCTGAAGTATGTTGAATGCAAGGCTAAGCATATAACTTTCTAACTTGCCCATAGTGTCCCTGATTGTTGAAGCACAGATAGTGAAATAGGAACAGACCGCGGTTGTCATTGATTTGCTGAAACTAGTTAACCCACATTTAATGAAGAATAGAGTTGTAAAAAAACATGTTTTTAAGTTGTTTGTTTCTAGCAGTAGATGATACTAAAGAGAGGTCTAGAGAATAAAAGGGATCATATGAGAAGTATAAGGGATGAGGTAATTTGGCAAAATTTCAAGACATTTCCTGAAAATGTAGACATTGTTCATTTTGCAGGCTGAAGGAAAAATGAAGTAAAGGTGGAGATTGTCTTTAAATATTCTTGCATTAATTTCATTGAACATGGTGACTGATTTCTGCTAGAATTTCTTTTTGCTGTCTTATAGCTAAGGGAAAATACATGTTTCTTTCTTTCTTTTTTTTTTAATCACAATGTAATGTCTCTGCCTTTCGGTTGAAATAATCTATAATCTATACCTATAGTCTATAAGATTCTCTGCATAGTAGTTGACAGTCAAGTGTTCAATAAAGAGTGATCTATCCTGGAACCTGTATAATTAGATTTCATTTTGCTTAGTTTATATTAGGTCGGTACAAAAGTAATTGCACTTTTTGCTATTACTTTTAATGTGAAAAAATGCAATTACTCTTGCAACAACCTGATACATAGTTTTCACTTGGTCATTTAGAAAAGATACATTAAATATTGTTTTTTTGTTTTAGAAGTCTTTGCTCTTCAGTCTAGCAGTAAGTTTCTTTCACATTAGCTTTCAAAAAGTGAACCTTCAATTCTAAACTTTTGAGTTGTAATTTCAATGACTTTTCTATCTGTAATGTTCTCTGTCGTTATTCCTAAGAAAATCACAAGAACTTTGTTTCCAAAATAATAATTTTGAGAAACAATTTGAGAGTTTATACAGATTTTTTCTAAGTTTTGGTAATAGAAAAATTCTTAAAGCTCATGGAAGGATTTCTATTTATATACTCCAGATAGGGAAATAGTAACTTGGTGATGTTTTAATAAAGAAAAATCTTGAATGTCAAACATTGATCAATGTTCTCTTTATTTTACTTGTACTGAAATGAGAACATTTATTTAAAAATCATCTGAACACTCAGCTGTCTATTGTGTCCTGTGTAATCTCATGTATGTGATTAACTACAAAACCTGTGTATTTATTTGTTCTTTTGAAAACCTATTTATTTTTTGCTTTTGAGGTCCCTGAAAATAATAGATGAACTTTTTTATTTTTAACACATATTTACTATCCAAGGTATTAACATAAAATGCAAACCATCTCAACATAATTTTTATTTTTTCTTGTATTTAATATTTATTATGAAAGTTATAGGTCTGAGACAATTATGAAAATTATAGGTATAGACAATTATGGAAAAAATGTATTTAAATAGAATGCGTTATGCTGCCAAAGTCTTAAATCGATCCTGACAACACTGGTCACAGTGACTTGTTTCCTTATTACCCCAAGGATTATTGGTTGATTTTTGACCATTCCAGCACCATTCCACATGAATACATTCCCATTTGATTTCTGCTGTTAAATATCTATTTAGACTACAGTTCTTGTGATTTTGTAAGATGATTTCCTGGTGGATTTCTTCATTTTCTTGACATAATAGATACCAGATTCAGCGATTATACTTTTCTCTGTAGCTTCCTTGGAGGTCTTTGGAGACAGGGGTGGTAAAGAAAATTTCCCACCTTTGAGGTCTCACTTTTCATGGTTAGTGTAATTCTATTTTCCCAAGCAACAGTTTCACTGAAAGTGGCATGTTTCTTCTTAGTTCTTTGTTATTTATGTCTTTTCAAATTTCCAGGAAGTGTGATTTCTAAAGCATGGTCAATAAGTAGGCTACTATTGTTCCTAAAGTGGAAATTACATTAGTGGAGCAGAAAGTGAGATTTTTTCTTGTAGTTCCTACCTCTGAATTCATTTTGATTCAAAAAGGCATTTAGCAAATACATAGTTCCAGTTGCAGAAATGAACAAAATCACCTCAGTGTCAAAGTCATAGCCCTTGATCAGCAGAAGGCGAGTTAGAGGCTGATGACTGACTTTTTGATTCACAATCATTGAAGCATCTCTACACCAACTGTAACCCTCTAGGAAAATTCGTTGGTATATATTTTGCTTAATTATCAAAGATGTATATGTGTATTTTATTTTTTTCTAAATTTGTCATTTAAGATGAATATATAAACATCTTCAGAAGATATATATAATATCTGTCTTCCAAAGATAATGAAGATCAACCGTATATTGTGTATTTACCTACTCACTGAAATTTATTTGTAACCCCAAAATCAATGCTTGGTTATTTGCAGACATGGATGTATATAGAGAGAGTGGCAAAAAATTTGAGTCACTTAAAGCACAGGTTTCCAGCTGAAGGTAAACAAAGAGACATTTTGCCTTCCTGTTTCTGTTCCCCTATAATTTAACAAGTGAGTTTTTTGGTGGTTTATTTTGTGTGTGTGTATGTGTTGCATTTTCTTGGTCATTTTGTTGTTTAATGGTCCCAAAGCATAGTTCCGAAGTGCTCTCAAGTGTTTCTAAGTGCAAAAGACTGGGACATGCCCTGTGGAGAATGTAGGTGTGCTAGATAAATTTCATTCAGGCATTAATTATGGTGCTGTTGGCCATACGTTCAATGTTACTGAATCAACAATATGTACTGAATGTGATTTTAAACAGAAATATGCATAAAGCAAAATTATATATTGGTCAGTTGAATTAAAATATGATCACAGGGTTATAGGAACCTAACTCCACATTTCCCGTAGAAACAATGGTTCAGTATTCATTAATTCAGTGCTCATTGTGACTTTATATAACCATGACACACATAGTTACCATGAATAACAAGAATCAACTGTATGTGGTAGAAGAGGAGAGAGTGTTAACTTTTCTCCAGGCTCTTGTTGCATGTGCTTAGGTTTGTTATCTCAATTTAACTTCGAGACTGCAGTTTTCCATCTGTTTAATAAGAATGATAATTCCAGAGCCACTGTCTGAAAAGTGTTGTTTTAAAGACTGAATGAAGTGATACGTATAACACTGCTTTGTAAACTGAAATGATGCAACAGGAGCAGAAAGCATTATTTATTTAGAGGGAGGAAAATATACTAGAGATTTTATAATGACTAATGCTTACCACCATTTTGTAAGAATATTCAGTTCTTTCTTGATTTAATAAGATGACAAATCACATGTTAAGCTGTTAAAGAGTTTACATCTGAAATTCAAATTCCATTTTAAGTAGGAGCATTGTCTCTTCTTTTATCTGTTTCCCAAATTATTAAAGCATATTACATTGTGTAGGAGCGAAATTGAATATTAAAGAATACTGTGGACTTGCATGTATTTCTATCTTTTGTTTTCTCTGGGCCAGCTCTGCTTAATTTACTAACACATAAATCTTTCCTACCATAGTGCTGGAAAGTCAATTTAGCTGAGGAAGAATGAAGCTGAATTCTGTTCTGCCTCATGCATCACCAACAAATTGCTAGGCCAGTTAAGTTTTGATTGCAGAATATTTATTTTTGGTGACAGATGTTGCTGATGTAAGAACCTAGATGATCACAGCTTGAATTAGCCTGGGTTGAGGTTGAAAAAAAATTGAAATGGAAAGTGTTAATGGAAGTAAATATGCAACATCAGGATGACATTTTTAGTGTTATATTTCTGATGATATTTTTGTGGTAAATAGGGTGTGACTACATTTGCATGCAGGCAATGACTTTTGGCAGAAAGATGGATACAGCCTTTTATGAAATCACATTCTTAAGGAGACCGTTTGGTAATGGAACCTAGGATAGTTAAATTTGCTACACTCCAAATACTTGTTTGGATCAAAGCAGAGTCCAGCATGGAGACTAGTTACTAAAAATCGTGGTTTCTGAGAAGGTCTGCTTCCTGTATACCTGTATTATATCTATTACCTCTCATATCATATCATAATAGTTTTCTTTACCTTTCTTTTCTAGTTGTCCAGAAATGACTATGAACATCTTTACATGTCATAGTTTTTCGACGACTGTTAGATGAAAAATAGCTGCATAGACGTAATTCCCCCATTTCCACACTGAATGCATGCTGACTTTCACATGAGAGGCAAAGAATCATTGGGACTCTTGTCTCCTTGGCAAGATCATGCATAGTTTTATGCATAAAGGTTTTTGTGGCCCCACATGAATCACTAATGGTGACATGTCAGGGAGGTGTGACAGGGAGGCCACTGAGAAGGCCATGGCAGTAATTCTTCCACTACAACCCCACCTTCCCTCTTTGAAAACAGCCAAAAGTTGTTGACCCAATGGGTCTTTCGTTCTTGCTGTGAAGTTGTTGAACATATAAAACGACCGTTAGAAATCCTGTTTTTTACTCATTGAAATGGTGAAAAAAAATGAATAATTCCTATTGACACAGGATGTTTTCTTGACCCCTTTGTGGGACTTATGGCAGGGATGCCCCATTTCCTCAGCCTGCCCTACTCAACTCCTCATGGACTGGAGGGTGCAGGTAAACGCGTCTGGGAAACAGAGCGAATGAGTGCAAGAACCGGCCAGCAGCTTCAGCGCCAGCAGGAGCACACTCTGTGCAGGCCCTGCGGCATCATCCAGGTGGGGGTGCCTGTGACCCCAAGGCCCCAGGGGGCATGTTGCAATGCTCCGTTAGCTCCACTGCCCATGGATAGCAGTGTGTTATCATCTCAGGGTGCCCTTTTCTCATCACATGGGGAGGTTGCCCTCTTCCAGCAAGGGCAAAGGGCCTGTGTGACAGCTTCATTGGGTATTCACACTTGGTGCATCTTGAATTCTTATTTGGTGACCAGGAGGAATGAAGTCATGCAGATAAATTGAAGGATGGTAAATGAGGATAATTTTATTGAGAAATGAAAGCAGCTCTCAGCAGAGAGGGGAGCTAGAAAAGAGATGGGAAGGAAAGTCCTAAGTGTCCAGGGTCACTCTCTTCTGAGGTCAAGCCTCCTCTCTGCCTTTCTCTTCCAAAGTCAAGTTGCCTCTTTTCAACATCTAGCTGCCATCCCTGAAGTCAAGTCACCTCTCCCCAACATCCAGTAACTTCTCTTTTCTATCAGCTGAGTCTGAAGTCTTTATAGGCACAGGATTAGGGGGCAGGGTGGGCCATAGGCAGTTTTGGAAAATGCAACATTTCATTGGTAAAAAGACAAAAGAAGCAATTGGGAGAGAGTGGGCACACAGGGATGGAAGTTCTCACTTTTGGGCTGTGGGTTTCAGGCTTTTTGGCTTGAAGGCTGGGTTTTGCTGGGGACCAACCCCTGTCTATCTTGAATTTCTCTGCCTCCTACCTCTATCACTACTAGTGGAGGAAAAAAAGTAGTGATTATGTTAGCCTGATTGTTTTGTTTTTTTTTTTTTCCAATAGTATATTAGATTTTTGTGTACTAAAAGGAAGATTTAGTTTTAACATGCTTATGTTTGGCTATGAATTTAAAAATACATATTTTGAAGATATACCAGAAGAAAGCACAATTGGAAATATGCAGTTCATATCTTAATTTTACAAAGTGCATTTTTCATTGTCAGTCTTTGCCCATGTCATGACTATATGACAGGTAGCTTTGCCACCATCTTTTTTTTTTTCTTAGTAGAGGGCATCCACTCGTTTGTTCTTGGAAATCCAAGTAAATGACTAATGAATCAATAGCAAAAACAACGAGGTATTTCTTCACCAAAGATATTCTGCTTTCTATAGTGTTTTTTCTTTTAAAACAAATACAATGCTTTATCTTTGCTGCGATGTGGAGCAGTTTTCTTGCAAATTTTGAAAGTGAACTTTCAAACACAAGGAATGAAAAACACAGACACAGACACACACACAGACACATACACACACACGAGACAGGAAAGTCCTGAGTGCAGATAATAGTTATGATAATAATTATTGAAATTTCATGTTAAATAGATATAGGGAAGTGATGGCTATCACATTCCTGGGAGATTGTTTAGACTCTAGGTCATTTCAGGCAGGCAAAACACTGATTTGATATAACACTTCTTGTTTAATGAATGGCTGAGTCCCAAATGTCTGACAACTCCGCATCTCTCTCATCCTTCACAGTGTGAAAGGAGAGGAATCGTGTATTTTAATAATGTGTAAAGCTCGCACAGAGCTGTCATATATTTTGGCTTAGCCTCTCTTTTCTATAGGAAATACAATGTTGAGTAGGTTCTAACTGACCCATGAGGTTACTGATTTTATGTTGCTAGAAAGACTGGTGATGTCAACTCAGTAATGCAAGTTCTTCCTGTGCAGGTAGAATGACAACTGCTAATGTTCAGGTATAATTACCTGGGCCAAATATTTTATGTGCATTTCTTGTTTCCTATTGTCAGATGTTACTGATATAAACCCAAACCTAAGAGTTATTTCTTGGGACCTGAACAAAAGTTAGATTTTGGACTTAGAAATAATGTCATATTTCTGTGGTTCCGTGATAAGCTTTTTTTCTCCACCGCTACTACTGCTTCTCCTTCTCCTTCTTCTTCTTCTTTCTTCTTCTTCTTTTTTGATGGAGTCTCTCTCTGTCACCCATACTGGAGAGCAGTGGGACAATCTTAGTTCACTGCAACCTCTGCCTCCTGGGTTCAAGTGATTCTCCTGCCTCAGCCTCCCAAGTAGCTGGGATTATAGGCACCCACCACCATACCCAGCTAATTTTTGTGTTTTTAGTAGAGACAGGGTTTCACCATGTTGGCCAGGCTGGTTTTGAATTTCTTACCTCAGATAATCCACCCACCTCAGCCTCCCAAAGTGCTTGGATTACAGGTGTGAGCCCCCATACCTAGCCCCTGATAATCATTATAATGTCAGTACATGTCACTCTGTAATAGAGAAACCAAACATGTTTATTAAAGGTACAGCTGATGGCCTGTTTAATTGAATTGAGCTAATATGGCAGAGTTTTTTTAGAAACGGAGCATTGAGAAAGTGTAAGTCTTGCATGTTTAAATGGATGACAATCCAATAACAAATATTGCATTACGTTAATATGTATAATTTAGTTTGTTACTTTGAATTGTAAAGGAATCTCTTCACTGCACAAAATACATTGACTTTTCTAATGGTGTATGTGTGTATTAGCCAATTTAGCTTTACTTGTCTGCCCATTCACTTGTAAAAGCTGTTAATTCATCATGAGAAAGATATAATCTACATACCAAATGAGTTAGCGGCAAGGAAGCAGCTGATTGCAGATATCAGGAAACTTATTAGCAATGTTTTACATAGCTTTGTTCTTTAATGGATTGTGTAGGTTCCTTCTTTATTGTGTTGACATTTAAGGGAGAAATTAAGGAAAAGTGAATGGTACTTAAACATTTGGTACAAATAGCACTAGGATAATGAGTGTGGGTATTGAAGGTATGTCAGATAAATGCCAGGCAGTGAGTTGCAGGCTTATGTATCATCTGATTTCTATAGAATGAGGAGAAATGTCAAACATTTCACTTAAAAAATGCATTCCATCTTTTCTCCATTGCTCTGGAGGAGTAAGTTTAACTTGTAGTGCTTGCTTTAGCTAACTAGAAATTCAGGAAAACCATAAATAAATTTTGAAAACTAGCTTTTAGATTTTAGTTGTGAAAAACATGGAATTAGCTATGAATCTTTGTTAGGGGTACATAATTAAAACCAAAATCTCTTCCTAACCCAGAAAAGCTCTCTACAAAGGTAGAAGAGAAACAATTTTATTATTGAATAAATGTTAAACCGGAGCGTGAGAAACATCATGAGCAATTGACAAAGAGGTTGGAGACAGAAAAAATATCTGTGTTTTGTATAACTAAGCCGATACAGGCCATTATTTATATGTATTTTTTCTCAAGACAAATAACACTTAGTCCACAATTATATATATTTTTTCTCAATACAAACAATAATTAGTCCACAATTAAGAGGACTGGGCAGCACCATTTATCACACATAGTTTATCTTAAATTCACCTCCCAACTGGGGGGAACATATGTGCTCACAAATTGGTTTTATCCAAAGGAAAAATAAACTTGTCATATCTTTATGACAAGAGGCACCTTTGAAGATTGGAGCAAGATACTCAGTAAACTTAGGCTCCTACCCCTCCCCACCCCCTGAAGGTGAGAACTAGGGTTCCTGTCTTCCTTGAGGATTACATTTCAAAAACATGGTTCCTGGGTCCTTGAGAAAGACATTCCTGGGTCCTAAAGCTGACAAGTTTATTTAGCTTTAGAAAAGGTTTATGTGCATTTCAAAGAGACAAGAGTTTACAATTACAAGTTTTCTAAAATAAATGCTGTAAGACATTAACTGAAATCCCAGTTTTATCACTGAGTAGCCGTGCTATCTTAGGATACTATTAATCTTTATGAATGCCATGTTTGTAAACTGGGAATTATACTGCCTGTATCATAAGATTATTGTGATGATGAATTGAGATAATGTAAGTCTTTAACAGAGTCTTTAACAAAGTGAATGGTTACTATGGTGGTTACTATTACAGGGCTAGTCCCTCTACCTATAATTTTGAACCTTCCCATCAACTCCAGAATGATGCTTCATCAGTTTTTACTTCTTTTGCTCATATCAACATGTTTTATTAATCCAGTAGAATCTTTTCTTAAATCTTCAAATGCATTTCCATCTTCTTTGTTACAAAGCGAATATATAAATGTTAAGTAAAACAATACACACTGTGACTTACTCTGATCAATTTTTTAAAAAATCAACATTCCAAAAGTATTATTTATGGATAATAAAATGCACCTATTTTAAGCACAGCTTGGTCTTTGTGACAAACATGTATGTTTATATAACCACCAACACAATCAATATTTAATTACCACAAAATGTTCTTTAATGCCAATCTGTAGTCAATCTCCATCTCAAATCCTGCCAGAGGCAACCCCAAATATCTACTTTTTGTCTCTATAGATGTCTTGCTTTTTCTGGGTATTCATATAAATGAAATCATGTAATATATACCATTTTGTGTTTGCTGTATTTTTTTCAACAAAGTAATTTTGAGATTCATCCATGCTGTTGTGTGAGTAACCTACTCCTTTCTATTACTAAGTAACATTACATTATATTGTTAAATCATAATTTGTTTATCAATTCAATTGCTGTTGGACATTTGAGTTGTTTCCAGTTTAGGCTATTATGAGTAAAGCTGTTATAAATATTCTTATACAAATGTTTGAGTGAATATATGTTTTCACTTCTCTTAGGTAAATATTTAGGAGTAGAATTACTGGATCAAAAGACAGATATGTGTTTAAATATATAGGAAACTATTAAACTGCTTACCAAGGTGGTTGTACATTTACATTTTCAGCATGTAAAGTGCTGAAATTTCAGTTTCAGTTTCCTCACCAATACTTGGTATTGTCAATCATTTTAATTTTAGGTGTTCTAACTGATGTGTGCTGAAATCACTTTGTGGCTTTGGTTTACATTTCTCCTCTAGTGTTTCTGAGACTTGGAACTTGCTGCTTTATTTTGCTGGGGGAATAAATCACTGATCTCTTACTTGGTTGGAAAGGAATATTTTAGTTGTCTTTGTTGGGTGAGAGATGGAATCTAGGCAACCTAACCTTTATGTTGACTTTAAGCTGAGGCTGGTCTCCACATCTCCTACTCCCAGGACTTCTGTTCCTCAAATTCTGAACCTTTCAGAAAGATTTCTGTAGCCCAAAAGCCTGGTTCCTCTGGACATCCTCCTCAATGGGGACTTAAGTCTCAGCTTTCTCTGTACTGTAAATCATTTACCCCTATCCATCTGCCTTCTGACAAAGTCTAAACCTTTGATGAAAACTCTCACCTGAGAATATTTATCTCTAGGTCTATTTGCTCTTGTTTCTCCATTTTAAAAACTATTTAGAGAAAGCAAAAAAGCACAAATGATGTTTTTCATATTTTCAGTCATCTCTTTATTTACCTTACTTTCTCACTTTTTCTTTACTCTTTCACACAGAAGTTAATGATGACAGAGCTCAAGATCTCTTTAACCTTAATTCTCTTAATTCTAATTTATGTAAATTATTTCAACCCAAACTTTCTTCCTTTACCCAAACTCCTTTTGTTTTTGATTTCTGTATTAGGGTTCTCTAGAGAGACGGAATAGGATATATATATATATATATACACATACATATATATATATATATACACACACATACATACACATATATATATATATATATATATATATGTGAAAGGGAGTTAATTAAAGACAATTGACTCACATGATCACAAGGCTGTCTCCAAGTTAAGGAGCAAGGAAGCCAGTGGTGAATCAGTACAAGTCCCAAAACCAGAAAAGTCGGGAAATCTACAGTGCAGCCTTCAGTCTGTGGCAAGATCCCCTTGGAAACCACTGGTGTAAGTCCAAGAGTCCAAAAGTTGAAGAACTTGGAGTCTGATGTTTGAGGGCAGTAAGCATCCAGCACAGGAGAAAGTTGAAGGCCAGAAGACTCAGCAAGTCTGCTCTTTCATCTTCTCTTTCCTGCTTTATTCTAGCCATATGGGCAGCAGATTATTTGGTGCCCACCCAGACTGAGGGTGAATCTGCCTCACCCATTCAAGTGACTCAAATGTTAATCTTTGGCAACACCCTCACAGACATACCCATAAACAATACTTTGCATCCTTTAATACAGTCAAGTTGGCACTCAATATTAACCATCATAATTTCTATGTCACAATCCCATTGAGGAAAGTATAACTTCCTTAAACTTGTATTTCATTTAATCTTTATCTCACTGAATAGTTTCCCTTTCTCTAGATTAAATTGTGTGAACAGGCCAGGAAGGGGGAGGTGTTAGCACATTTTTATTTCCAGTAGCTCTATAATACAATTTACTGTAGTAATACTCCATGAGAATTTGGCATTGCTACTCTTCAGCAGCAGCGTATTTCACAAAGGGAAGAGAATTATTGCTCTATATGCATTGTGGCCTCTGCTCTGCCAGATAAAATGTATAGGGAAGCTTTATCATAATTCTCTCTGAGATTCTCTGTTTTCTCTGATTCCAAGAAACTATCTCTAATATATAATGTGTTGACAGTGAGAAAATTGACCATTTTAAGCAACATCTAAACCTGGAGATTAAAAAGAGAGCAAAATGACCCTTTTCTTATTTTCTTAAGGGAGCACAATTCTAAAACTCTCCCAAGCTAAAAAGAGAAGATATTGGCCATGAAAATCTTGTAAGAATGGTGATATAACTGGCTAATATGCTTTAGAGAATAATGAAGCAATTAGATTGCTAGTCAACTTAAGAAAATGCCTAATGTATCATAGAATGTTTGTCTTAAAATTTATTTTCTGAAGTCTTTCCTAGCTAGCAAATTGAGAGGTCATAAAACAAACTTAAAATAATCTCCAAACACCAATATTTGAATCTGGATTGCTTTGCAGTGTGTTTTCATGGCTTGATAATTCCAGAGAAATTATTATTATTATTATTTGGTCTTTAATCACAAGATCTTTTTCATTGGTGTACTATTAAGATATTGAATCCAAAGATACCAGTTAATT